AGCGTAGAGTGCAAAGTTGCTAAGTCCCAATTTAAAAATTGTACAGGAGAGGAAAAAACTTCGTATAGCCATTTTCTTCAAGTATTTCGCAAAACTTTGAATACAACATTTTGCCTGTTTAAAGCAAAGCAAAACTCCATACGAATCAGAGGGATTCGATCTTTATTAAAAGATTTCGAACTTTTTTGGCCTTATCGAATTTTCGGAGCTTTTTTCGGACTTAGCTAATTTTTCTTTCATTGAATATAAACGAGAAAACATAAAACAACGACCTTTACCCTTTTCGAAACGATGCAATATTAATTTATCTAGCCTCCTATATCAAAATATGATTTTTCATTAAAAGTGAAGTTAGCAACTTTTCACTCTATGCTAGCGATATATGAGTTTAACAATTAGTTTATCGTACATTTTAAATAGTTTTATTTCATGGTATGTTTAAATGCTTTCAGATATTGAATTTTTACTCATATTCATAAAATTTATTACTCAATTTGGATCCCGGGATAAATCCCGGGATCCCGGGATTACCTAAAAAATATCCCGAAATCCCGGGATCCCAATTTTCCTGATATTTTGGCATCCCTAATATATACATATATATATATATGTATGTATATATTTCATGATCCAATGATCGAACCAGATTAGTAGGGAACCACCCCCGAGACGCTACCTTTCCGATGCAAAAAGAATTATCGAAATCGGTTGACGTGGTCCAATGTTATGCGGTAACATACATATATAGAAAAAGAAATAAAAATAAATAAAATAAAAATAAAATATTCCGACGAACTGATAACATCCTCCTTTTTTGGAAGTCGTTTAAAAACTATAAGAGTGTGCGGAGTGGGGTCTTTACCTTTAGAATCAAAAACCCAGAAGATAATTTAGGTAGGCCTTCTTGAGTAAAGCCATTCAAGGAGGCCTACCCAAGAAGAGCTGTAAAAAGTACTTCCTTGCATGCCTTCTAGAAGGGTTATCCATTTACAATTTACGCGAATGCATAAATTTATATTATTAAACATTAGAAATTAATTTAAACAAATATTTTAAGTTGCAATAGCACATATTTGATATAAACCTTAAGCAAATACTTCAAAGATATATGATTTTTATAAAATAAAGAAGCAACTTTAAAAGAACTCCTCCAAAAGGCCTTCTGAAGTACGTCCTATAAAAGCCCTTCTGGAAGGCCTTCCATAAGTAGCGAAAGAAAAACCCCCAAACCCCCCCTCCCTCCCCCCCTAAACGAAGGAGGATGAACGCCGCTTTATGCCCGCCCCAGTGATGTAACCTTGGGAAAGGATGAGGTAACTAGAATTCCCTTTCTGTGTGGTAAACCTGGGGCTGCTGCCCCAGTGATGTCTATTTTGGTTACTGGGTGTTTTATAAAAATATCTTGTATATAAAAATGTATATACAAATTTATAACAAAAATTTGCAACAAATACCATATTTCCAACCGACATTATTGTTAAATCAGTGCAGATTTAGTAAATTAAATTTTTGTAATAAAGCGTGGACTGTTGTCTACAAGTGTGTGTAAAAGTTTTTTGATTCGATTCACGCGTTTAGGCACGGCAACCCAAAATCTTTGTACAAATTCAAAAAGAGTACCCATTGCACTAACTCTCAGATTTGCTTTTGGTTAGGCGCATTACTTCGTGGTTAAATATTCAAAATTTTCTTAAACAAAAAAACATACTATAACCCCCTTAAAATCTATCCAGGTAGAATATGCGAACAAGCACATTTTATTCGCCCCCACTTTCGACGATACTTGTGTCTGCAACGTTATTGGGGAAAACAATTGAAGTTAATGTACTCCACACCGCCCCGTTCTCGCCAAGATTAGAAAATGTTTTCTAAAAATGCATTTATCTGATAATGCAATACATGCATTCAATTGTGAAGTTTTATATTACACATTTCACAGATATACAAAGCATTTTCATAGTTCTCAACTTTTATAATACTTTACCGAGATTTCACTGCGTGTTAATGGGGCTGAATATATATTTTAATGCAATCACATTAAACCGTTTTCTTATACAACCAACTTTTCTTATTTTACCGACAACGAATTGATAACACGTCCGCGATTGACGCAAATATCTTCCCAGACTTTCATTTCGCACATTGGGTCGATTTTTGTCTTATTTACCGATTTGACATTTGTTTACTGTCATTTTAAGAAATGTTGCCATCTCTAAACAATTGGGGTGTTCACAGTTCGTTCCAAATTGTGTCTCGAAATGGCTTTGTTTCTTCACTTTTCTAGCAGATAATTATCAGGAAGAAGTAGAATGGGAGAATTGAGAGAATTACGCTAACAGATAGCGAAATAAAGAGAAATAGTAAAGAAACGCGGAACTAGCAGAAAGTATCAAATCTCCGAACTAGAAGGCTACTAGATGTTGTGCAGGCAAAAAAAAACTACGTCGCCTTTGGTCCGTACAACAGGATAGCGAACCTTGTCAACCAACATGCACCGAATGTAAATTTCTTTGAAGGGTCTCACTCTAGCTTAAAATATAAATTAAAATCAATTCTCTGAATTATATGTTACATTGCAATGTCATTCATTCCGTTTTGTTTTTTCTGTTAAGCGACCAACCACACTCGTTTGTTATTACTTTTTTAGTCAACAATTTAGTTATGTACAAAGCCGATTGGCGTTTAAATAAATAAATAAATAAACAGCTGATCAGTGTATTTGACTATTGAAAATGTTTGGCGTGCATTTTTGATTATTCATTTTGACAGCTGCTAGTTTCTGCTAGTAAAAATTGTACTAGCAGAAATTAGCAGGAGAGCTAAAAAATAAGAGCGTAAGAACGAGATAGAGGTGATAGTTTCTGCTGGTTTTTTGGATTACGAAACGCCTTCCAGCAAAAATTTTGTGATAATTTGTGATAATTATCTATTCAGAATCAAAGCTAATGTAGATGTCTACATTTTAAAACATTTTCTAACCGTAAAATATGTGGTGTTGTTGTTTCCCGTAATAATAATAGTACAATAATTCATACTTACCTTATTTTTGGCAATAGATGCAAATGCAAGCTAACGAGAAAAGATACATCTAGACAGCTGATTGACAAAGCGCGCAAAAGTTGACAGTTTGCCATGATTTTGATTCGCTTTGCCTTCCTCGCATTCTATTTAGGAAGACTCATATAAAATCATGCATTGAACTTATCTGTCAAAGCGGAATTATGAAGCAAAGCGAAGTCTAAAGCTGAAATTAGTCAAGAACGTAAACCTACCGGTACGTAAACCCGAGTCAGCTGACACGATCTGTCTTACCAAAGCGCCATGTAAATGAAAACTCAACACCGCAGAATTTTTCTGTAGTTGTAGCCCGTAGCGCAGAAATCTGCGGAATTTAGATTTTTCCGTGTCAGCTGATTTCTCCTTCTTTAGATGGTTGCCACTTCGTCAGTTTTGCAGATGGTAAAAAAGTTATAAGTTCCTATTCGAAATATGTTTAAAATATTTGAAATTTACTATTAAATAAGGTTTTTGTTGAAAACTAAGTAGTTTATATTTAGTTACAATCTATTATAGCACGAAAAATTGTGGTTGAAAGGGTAAGTTTATGAAAAGGCATTGAAGAGTGGCAACAGTGTAGTAAGCAACACTGAGGGCTCCAGTAATCGACAAAATTCTGCGTATACAGACTGCGTTTAAGTATACGTTCTGCGTTCTCGACTAATTTCAGCATTATGTAAACGGCCCTTTAAAGGTATTGTGGCTAATACTGCGGCAACTCGAAGCAACCCAAAACAACAACCTCATTTTGTGTTGATCATGGCTGCGTTTCTTTATACATTCCGGATAATCCCATTTCACAGCCGGAATAAACAGAATGCGTTTGAAATATACGTCAACATATCATCAGGAACGTTCTAAAGAATAAATAAACAAAAAAGTTTATTCCAAACGTTCAGAATGAATAAAGAAATGCAGCCAATAATTCAATAATACAAGGCTGGATAAATATTGACATTTTTGTCAATCGACTGCCTTGTAAGGTTGCATTTAAGAAGGAAGAGAAAGCGGGTAACCATTTTATCCCCTTTTTTGAAAAGGTAGTGGGAAAAGTAGTGTGGTAGTGCTGAAATGGTTTTTTTTTTAAGTTTAATTAAATATATGAAGCGGATTCCACTGATCTGCACAATAGACAATGAATTAGCTTTTTTATGCTATGTCTCCATTGAGAGATTTATCCATTAAGCTTTAATAAATCCAGTTGCTAAATCACAACCGTCTCCATTACCACAACGAGATATGTTTGACGTTCACATTTTTAAATATTTGACGTTTGCTTCCCTGCAAGAACAGTGACTATCATTTGACAAATCGTTTGAGTGGCAAGACTGATAGATATTTCTGTGACTGGCTACCTACAAGTTTCTATCAAATTCTAAAGGGCAGTGTGAAAAATATGATATAAACATTTGTATTCCGTCCTCCTCCGACTTGTGGCATTATTTAGTTGTCTCTTTTTAACCAACGCAAAGTTTGTAAATGTGTTAGTAAGGTAAATGAGAATGTGTTAGTTTCCATCACATAATTCTTGTAGAGTTATGTATAATTTTATAAATACATTTGCGGACATTGATATACAGACAGATAAAAGGAAGGTACCAAGCGGAATTTCATTATATGAATTCTGAATATTATTGGCTTCTTATTCGTGGTAAATATGTGTTACCGCCGCCACTGTATTATGTATCTATATTAGTTATTATCTATCTATTCTATTTTCGCTTTCGCAATACATAATTGAATACATACACTCGATCTATGTGGACAGTGAATACATATGCATGTTAATATTATTCCATTTATTGTTTTCTAATAACGGTTCTATCTGGTGACACTATTACGCTTAAAAGGACATTGCAAACTAGAAATTAGTTGCAGTCGGTTTTGTCAAGCAGCAAGAAAACATATTGTTTTAAAGCATCATCACTATTTGTTAATTGCAGTAAGCCCATTATTTGGAAATAAATCGATCGCTCTTAAGAGTTTTCGTGTTTGATTTAAGCTGAAAGCCACAATATGTATGTATAATATATAGTTAGAAAGTGTAAAGAATCATTTTCCCGAATTTAAGAAAAATGGTCAAAACGGTAAAAAAAAATTGCGGAAAGAAAAATTTTTGTAGAACTCTCTTATTCATAGGAGTGAACCGAAAATCCAATCGTGGGCCTTTGGCATGTCAAGAATACGAACTGAGTTCTAGAGGATGTTCGGTGCAGTGTTATCGAAGCAGAACCATTACCGAAATTTATAAATTTTTTGTCGCAGCGCGTAAATGACTTATAGAAAGCGGGGAAGACTCTGCATGATATCACTATAAAACATTTCTTCTAAATTTTTAGTTTTTAAAATAATATTTTCTTAATTTATTACAACCAAAGTTATGTAAATATGTATTACTAATTTTCCTCCCAAACTAACAAAAATATAAAAATCCCTAAAAATACGAAAATTCATGTTTTTATGATAGGCTAGATTTCAATGTCCTCAGCTGTATATTGAAAACACAAATGTAATTTGACTTATGGCATGTGAATTTGTGGTTGCCACATCCAACAAATTGTACTTATTGATCAATATTATTGAAGATTTGACAAAGATTTAACTTAAATCTACTGCCTTTCGAGATTTAATTTTATATGGTAAATCTCAAAAGATTTAACGTCAAATCTCGTCAGAGGGCTAAATCTTCATTAAATCTCACAATGGAGACATAGTATTATGGTATAATAAACATGCCATTTAGATATTAAAATGAAATAAATGAATATTCACATAAAATTCTGACCAAAGAAAAATCGTATCGAGAAATATTCCCAAATATTCAAAGTAAACCATGGTTGCGTTGAAATTCCAGTACATATTAAACAAAATGAATAGAATTCAAACAAATCCTTTATTCAAAGGGACTATATGAAGAAATATACAAGTAGTAATGATGTAACTGATATTATGCGTATAAATTAATCTATTAAAAATTATATTTGTTGCATTTAAAAATTACATGTTAAATATCTTGAATTTGGTTTTTTACAAATTTTAATTTGTTAGTCATGTTTTCTGCTATTTTTTCCAATCAGTCTTGCTAATAATTATATTGGTTACATTTAAAAGTTACATCTTCAATATCGTAATTGAATTACATTTGGTTTCTTACAAATTTAAATTGTTTAGTAATGTTTTCTACTATTTTCTCCAATCAGTCTGGCTAATCATTATATTGGGTACATTGAAAAGTTAGATCTGGAGTATCCTAATTTAAATACATTTGGTTTTTTAGTNGTATAATAAACATGCCATTTAGATATTAAAATGAAATAAATGAATATTCACATAAAATTCTGACCAAAGAAAAATCGTATCGAGAAATATTCCCAAATATTCAAAGTAAACCATGGTTGCGTTGAAATTCCAGTACATATTAAACAAAATGAATAGAATTCAAACAAATCCTTTATTCAAAGGGACTATATGAAGAAATATACAAGTAGTAATGATGTAACTGATATTATGCGTATAAATTAATCTATTAAAAATTATATTTGTTGCATTTAAAAATTACATGTTAAATATCTTGAATTTGGTTTTTTACAAATTTTAATTTGTTAGTCATGTTTTCTGCTATTTTTTCCAATCAGTCTTGCTAATAATTATATTGGTTACATTTAAAAGTTACATCTTCAATATCGTAATTGAATTACATTTGGTTTCTTACAAATTTAAATTGTTTAGTAATGTTTTCTACTATTTTCTCCAATCAGTCTGGCTAATCATTATATTGGGTACATTGAAAAGTTAGATCTGGAGTATCCTAATTTAAATACATTTGGTTTTTTAGTTTATGAGGTGGGTTTTGTCGAAGGCTGAGGTATGCTCAGCCGCTCGAGAGTCCAGCGAAGGTCCCACTAACCCCCACCAAATAAAACACAATGATTTGTGTATTAAGTCGAACACACCCACACCAGTGTTGCCACAAAGATTTTGAATTTTTTTACCAAACCTCTAAAAAAAATTACCAAACTCAGAAAAAAATTACCAAATTTTTATGAGCATAATATTCTAAACAAATTGGAAATTATTTTTCGACGTATGTAGATAATACACCACGTCTGGGATTGTGGCCAGCTTA